TCAGCAAATTAGTAAGACTTTGTCTCAAAATAAAAAATAAAAATGGCTGGAGATGTGGGTCAGTGGTTAAGCACCCCTAGGTTTAACCCATGGCACCAAAAGGGAAAAAACTGAAATACTTTATTATTCTGAAAAGAAAGAAACATGATTAATTTTAATTAAGAGTCAAATGAGATAGATATGTAGCTATTTATTTATTTATGGTTCCAGAGATTGAACCCAGGGGTACTTAAGCACTGAGCAATATCCCCAGTCCTTTTATATTTTTTTATTTTGAGACAGGGTCTTGGTAAATTGGTTGCCTAGGGCCTCACTAAATTGCTGAGGTTGGCTTTGAACTTGCAATCCTCCTGCCTCAGCTGCCTAAGTCGCTGGGATTACAGGTATGTGCCACCACACCAGGCTGTAGTTCTTGATAATAATCTACTATCATTGTATAAATCACCTGCTTAGTTTTTAAAGTAAACTTATCATCTTTATTTAAGCATTTATTTAGAAGAGATAGTCAAAAAAATGAGATAGAACAACTTGATTTGCCTTGTTTTATAAATAGCCTAAGATCTAGTATCCAAATAAAACTGTCTACACCTGTAGAGCTTATTTTCCCCAGAGGAAGATTACATAAGATAGCTACATAATTACATAAAAATAACCAACATGTTACCTAACTTTACCTAAGAAGTAGGTAAAGTTTTTACCCCTGTTTTTATAGATGAAAACTGAGAGAGTAATTTGCCCATATCACACAGCTATGAAATATCCAAGCCAATGTTCTAACTTGCCAGTCTCTCATCAGACCATAGTCTCATATGACATGCTACCCTCCTATGTTGTGAGTTAAAAAGAAATAATAAAGTCAGGTGCAGTGGTGCATGCCTGTAATGCCCACGGTTCAGGAGGCTAAGGCAGGAGATCCTTGAATTCAAGATCAGTCTTAGCAACTTAGAGGCCCTAAGCAACTCAGCAAGACCCTGTCTCTAAACAAAAATATAAAAAGGGCTGGGGATGTGGCTCAGTGGTTAAGGGCCCCTGAGCTCGATCCCCAGTACCAAAAAAAAAAAAAAAAAAAAGTACTGAAAAGGAACTAAATATTCTCCTTAGAACATCCTAAAATCTTGCCTTCTTTTTCTTTTCTTTTTTTGTTGTACTGGGTATCAAACCCAGGGCCTTGTCTAATACTTAGTGAAAAGTTTTGCAATGACTATTTCAAATAACTCACAAATTGACTTTCAACAATTACTTTACTAGTAATAATGTTGCAGAAACCCTTAAAACAAAAACAGCTGTCAAGTCAAATGTGAGAAATGATCTATTTTCATAATCATTTAAAATACATGAATTATAATTAAAACATAAATTTCAAATATTGCATAGTTACAGATTATTAAAAATCATTTGGCATAACTCCTTATAAAATAAATGAGGAAACTGAAGCCCAGAGTATTCTCAAGAGCTTTATAAGCAGCAGCGCTGGATGTGCAAACAAAAGACACAGGGCAAGGACAAAATTCCAAATGAATTACCATCAAGCTTGAAATGGCATTTCTATTGCTGTGCAATATTTAACATAAAAACTCTGGATTCCCTGCCTTCAAATTTTATGTATGTATTCTGAGAAAACAGAACACATATTCAGTGAACACTGGGTAATGGAGAAGCTTATGGTTAGAAGAGATCTTCTGGAAGAAAAAGACTAAACACACACACACATACACACAAAATCTACATACAATAAAAAAATGACCTAGCAATTTTCTCTTGTTTTGATTACTTCCATGTTTCCAATCACTTTTTCTTCAATCAGAATTAAGTCCAAAGTGTCAGTTCTTTGTTACTGACCCCACTTCTAAGAAGAAATTGTCAACAATGGAAAAGATAGCTTAAAGCTGAGATTGTGGAAGACAGATGAAGTTCTTCAATACCATTATATATTGCTACTATGTTAATTCGGTAAAGATGTAAATGCAATAAAAATTCACAAAAACATTTTAGTAAACAATATATCTAATGTTTCTTGTTAGTTTTGGAGCTATAAAAGATTAAAACTAATATAGTAAAGACTGACGGATAAGTGCGGCAGACCAGGGTTGAGGTATCCAGGGTCTCAATAAGCCACATGCACAGATTCCTATTATTAACTCCTTCCCAGTCCACCTGCTTTTTTGGTGGCATATATTCTCATTCTTTAGTAAACTCCTTGCTCTAAAAAAGAAACAAAAGAATTAAGCCAAAATTAAGAAAACGATTTCTACCATATACTTTATTTACTGTCTTTATTTTGGTTCTAAATTTCTATTTGAATTCAAATATAAAACAGTAAAATTAAGACAAAGTTCTGAAAAATATATTTGAAAAATGGACTTTTGTGGAAAATCGGCACTAACCAAAAACTGTTCTTATTTCAACTCTTCCTGTGTTCTTTACCTAACATGATATACATCTTAATTATTGTCCATTCTTGCCAACTCTTTCAGAAAACAAAAACTCTTGCCTCTTTTCCACACAAACCTTCCATATACATTCTAGGTTAGTAACCTCAATCCTTTATATAATCTATAATCATTGTCCATTCTCTCTCTCTCTCTCTTTTTTTTTTTTAAAATAAGGGCACTTTACTACAGAGCTACATCTCTCCGCCTTTTCAATGTTTAAAATTTTGAGACAGGCTGGCCTCAAATTTGTAATCCTCCTGCCTCAGTCTCCTGAGTTGTGGGATGACAGATATATGCCACTGTGGTTTGGAGAACGATCTTCTCTTCCATTGGGTTCCTTTATCTACAAAACCTACTCAGACCAAGTTTCCCTCACTACCTTTCCACACACAAAAGTAATTTTACTTTTTTAATAGTAAGTTCCTGTTATGAGCTGAATTGTCTCTGTGCTGTCCATCCCCCACCTCCACAAAGAGTATGTTGAAGTCCTAACCTCTGGTACATGTGACTGGGCAGTGATCTTATTTGGAAAAAGAGCCTTTGCACGAATAATCCCAGAAAATGAAGATATTAGAGTTGGCTCTAAATTCATCCTTACTACTGTCCTTATAACAAAATATAAAAACAGGAGGGTGGAGAGATGTCATGTGAGGCAGAGATTGAAGTGGGTGATTCATTTAGAAAGCCAAAGAATGCAAAAAAAAAAAAAAAAAAAAGCCAATGATCATCAGAAACTAAGAGATACACTTGAAATTGATTTTCCTAGAGCCTTTACAGAGATAGTATGGGCCCTATCTACAGCTTGACTTTGAATGATAAAATTAATAAACATTATAGGTAAAATTTCTGATGTTTTAAACTACCAAAGTTGTCATGTACTTTGCTATATATCCCTTGGATATCAAGCTAGTCCTTAATGATCTCCTCAAGAACCTTCCTTTTCTCAAAAATTTTTAAATTAACTCTTCAGTTAAGCTGAAACATAACTCCAGTTAACAAGCACTAAAAATGTTTTAAATAACATCATTATCCCCACCCTGAACAGACAATCCTACAGTATTTTCTCTGTCCTTAGTCTTATTCATTTCTGTGTAGTATTACACTTTTTTTTTTAGTCTTATTCATACTTCTTAGGGTTGCCTGAATTAGCAAATAATTATGTTTTATTCTGGCAGTAGTAATCCCTACAAAACTTTTAAAAATTCAGCTCACGTTTTAAATCCTTCTTCCTAAAAACCAGTTCTCTGCAAAATGCTGAGTTAAGTGACCACTTCTATATTCTTAGAGTGATATAAACAGTTAACAATGATTCCTACCAAAAAGTACTTACAAAAATCACATGAGAAACTTTTTGAAAACAACAAAAAAAAAACCTATTATGTCCTGTGTTCTACCTAAATTTTCAAGAAGTCCATCAGGTGATTTTGAAATGTTTCTGATTCAAACAAACTCACTAATTTTATATAACACTGAATACTGAGCAGTTGTTTACCTGTCTCCTCTTCCCCCCAAAACTGAATTACTTAAGAGTAGGAATTGACATTTTCTTATCACCTAGGCCTAGCAGAAAAGAGTATTAACAACCAAATACCAGTAGTTGGCAACTTTAGGCCCATGAACCAAACTCCACTGCATGATTTTGTAAACAAGGTTATTACTGAGACATAGCCAGAGTCATTCATTTACACATCATCTATGATTACATGCATACTACCATAGCAAGCTTGAATTAGTTGAGACAAAGATTGTATGACCCATAAAACCTAAAATCTTTACTATCTTGTTCTTAATAGAAAAATTTGTTGATTCTTAACCTACAGAATAAATGACTGAGGATGACCTCAAACTTGTGATCCTCCTGCGTCATCAGACTTCCAGGTCGCTAATATTACAGGCATGAACCATCCAAAAGGCCAGAAGTCAACTCATATCTGACTTAGAACAAACTAAGAAATTAGAAATTCAATAGCTACTCCTTCTCTCAAAGTCGATACATAAAATATGTATGTATAATATGCACATACAGATTTATGCACGTATTTGTTTACATGTAAATAAATAATATATATTTAGCACTATATCTTTAACATAGATATACTACATAAAGATAATATATGACTTTGAGGCTTTTGGTTATTAATTATACACAACCTCAACAAACTTAATACTCTAACTTCAACACCTAAATGAAATTAAAACTACCAAATTATACAGTGAAGAATCTAACCCAAAAGTAGGCTAACAAACTGAAGATAGTCTTCAGACCAAGTTGGTTTTTAAAACCTTGCCACACAAAATGAATTCTCAGAACAGGCAACATCCCAATTAGCTGAGATTGTCGAAAATCTAGAATTACATTTTAACAAGATTTCCAGTGATCTTTCTGTACAAATTTGAGATTAAACCAAATGAATATTGCTAAAACAAAATACCACATTCAGAATTACGTCAACTCTTCTTGCCAACAACCACAACCAAATGAAGGTCCAACTTCACAAAACATTCAGAGATATTAAACTTAACAGGTAATTGTTTAAATCATCTGATGGTGACAAAAGATGACAATACCTTGAGCACTTGAACTTGACCTTCTGTAGTAATTTCCTTTAACAGCTCACAAAAGGACTGACAAAGACCCACTGCATATGTCTGAAATTCAATCCAAAGACAATATAAGAATATATTTGTAATATCAAAAAGGCATAAATTCACTTTTGAGACTCATTATTATCTATTTGAGAAGTATATGCTAAAGGTCTAAGCATATGAAGTTTTTCAACTACAAGTCTTAGGATTAAGGGAAAAAAAGATTATGCCTCACAAAAATAGTTTATTGACAAACTGAATTTTATAGAAATGAAGATGTATTTATTTAAATAGCACAGTTCCTGCATTATATAACAATGGAACGGCATCTTCCTTACAGTGGGGAATGTTCACAGGGAATTTTTCCCCATTAAATTAACAAAATAATCTTAAATTTTGAAATGACAATAATAAACAGTAATAACAATAATAAACATAATAACTACTTAATTTCTTACAAACACCACTCCAACATACCTGTAAAAATTCTGTTGATGATAAAAAGATATAGCCATTGATGATCTTAAAACAGGTTCTGAGATTTTCTGAACTTAGTTCTGCCAAAACAATAATTTTCAAAATAAAGAACAAATTAATTCATTGTTCAAATCAGTTTAAGTGATAAAAAGAATCAGAAAATAATTTGACCCAACCTTTCATTTCAATCTAAATTTTTAGTGCCAAAATGGCAAACAACATGTGACTGAATCATTTTATCATTATATTTTGACATATGCTTAAATGAACTCAATGAGCATTTACTCAGTATACTGCACTGTCACTGAATATTCTATTTTACTTATGAAAAAAGGTCCCTATTATAATCCCAAAGTATTACATTTTGTTCAGGTATTCAATTCTTGGGCTTTGTTCTTCAAATTTGCTCCCCATAAAAAATCTACATATAAAAAATGTTCTTAAATATGGAATTTCCAGGATGAAAAAAAAAATTTTTTAATCGATCCAATTGTACATGAAGTGAATATAGTTGTAATAATGTATGGTAAGTTTCAGATATAGATGATAGTGTGGAGTCATGTTTTGATCTATATAATTATAAATTATCTATATTCTATGGTACCCTTATTGTATGTAGGAAGATATAAAATTGCAATGCACCATCATTTGGTCACATTCAATTTTAATAAAATTATTACTTTGCATTTGAAAAGAAATAGCTAAAATTTACCTTGGTGAAAATTACCTTCTTATTACTTTCCCTTTCTCTCTTTCACACCCTCTTTTTTCCCTCTCCAATTTGCCCAATCTTTCTTCCTCCCTCCTTTTAGCCCCCACTTAAGGCAAGTTTACCAAATTTAACAATTAATTTTTTAAGTATTTTTTTTAATTGTCAATGGACAAATATCTTTATTTTATTTATTTTTATGTAGTGCTGAAGATTGAACACAGTGCCTCACATGTGCGAGGCAACAGCTCGACCAATGAGCTACAGCCTCAGCCCAACAACTAATTTTTGGTCTGTTCCAGAACTTCAATTTAGGTTTACACCTGAATTTGAGAAACTGGAGAACAACTGCAACAAATTTTTGTTTGTATAAAGTTGAACAGAATGAGGCTTGGCTGAAAAATGATTATAGTAAATAGGGCTCAGGGCCATCTCTTATTAAAGTAGTGCTGATATTGGGATCAGCAGAGGTCAAACATTAAATTAATACATTACCATCAGGATATTCACCCAACCCTGGGATCTTAAAAAAAAAACTCACAAAGTAGTCTTTCGTTTAAAAGAAGCCAGACCTATAACAGCAGATGGGTAAACATACATACAATATGAAAAAGCAAGGGTACAATCCATCTCAAACAACCCATAATGCTTCAACAACTGACTTTTTGACTATGGAGGAAATGTCAAAGAAGGAATTTAAAAAGCTTACAGTTGGGGCTGGGCTTGTGGCTCAGTGGTAGAGTGCTCGCCTAGCACATGGGAGGCCCTGGGTTCAATTCTCAGCACCACATTAAAATAATGGTATTGTGTCCAACTACAACTAAAAAATAATTAAAAACGAAAAAACAAAAAAACGCTTATAGGTAAGCTGTTCCATGAGCTAAAAGACAATGTAAGGAGTGAAATCATAAAGGAAGTGAAAGATCACTTAAAAAAAAAAAGAGATATTCCAAAAAAGAACCAAGCAGAAATCCTCAAAATAAAGAAATCAATAAACCAAATCCAAATTTCAATGGAAAGCATAACCAATAGATTAGACTACTTTGAAGACAGACTGAAAATAAAGTATATAATCTTGAAAATGAAGTCAACCAAAGAAAAAAGATGTTATGAGACAATGAACAGAATATTCAAGAAATGTGGGATGACATTAAAAGACCAAATTTAAGATTCATGGGGATAGATGAAAGCTCTGAAACACAAACTAAAAGAATGCACAATGTTTTCAATGAAATAGTATCAGAAAATTTTCCAAACTTTAGGAATAAAATGGAAAGTCAAATACAGAAGACATACAGGATACCAAATACACAAAATCACAAAGATCCATTCCAAGACACATTATTATAAAATTTTTTTAATGTAAAAAGGATAGAATTTTTAAAGCTGCAAGAGAAAAATGTATGATGACATCTAAAGGTAAGCCAATTTGAATTTCAACAGATTTCTCAACGCAGATGCTTAAAAAAATTATATCTATTTATCTATCTCAAGCTCTGAAAGAAAATACTTGTCAACCAAGATTACTATACCTAGCAAAATTAAGTGTTAGAACTAAAGATAAAATAAACATTTTTTACAATAAACAAAAGCTAAAAAATTCATAACTAGAAAGCCTATACTACAAAACATACTAAATATTTTTAGAAGTGAAAGCTAAAAATGGAAACAAGCATAGAGACAAATTGCACTAGAACAACAGTAAATCAAAGGAGAAGCAAACCCAATTTAAACATTAGAAATAAATCAAAACGGCAGGAACTAAAAAAAAAAAAAATCTCTCAATAATACCGAATGTAAATGATCTAAACTCTTCAATCAAAAGACACAGGTCGCAGATTTGTTTGAAAAACAAGACCCAAAAATATGCTATCTGCAAGAGATTCACCTCACAGGCAAAGACATCCACAGACTGAAGGTAAAAGGATGGAAAAAACATAGCATTCACATCACCCATAGATCTCGAAAATAAGCAGGAGTTATTATTCTCGTATCAGATAAAGTGGACTTCAAGCCAAATTAATTAGAAGAGACAAAAAGGTCATTTCATATTGCTTAAGGGAATCACACATCAACAAGATACAATGGTCATAAATATTTATGCCCTAAACACTGGAGCATCTATGTATATCAAACAAACACTATTCAATATTAAGAATCAAATAGATCACAATACAGTGATACTGGATGAGTTTAAAATGCCTCTCTCATCACTGCATATATCACCCAAACAAAAAAATAGCTAAGGAGCGGGGTGTAGTGGCACATGCCTACAATCCCAGAAGCTCTGGAGGCTGAAGCAGCAGGATCAAGAGTTCAAAACCAGTCTCAGCAAAAGTGAAGTGTTAAGCAACTCAGTGAGACTCTGTTTCTAAATAAAATACAAAATAGGGCTGGGGATGTGGTTCAGTGGTTGAGTGCCCCTGAGTTTAATCCCTGGTACCTCCCCCCACAAAAAAATAGCCAAAGATATTGCCTTAAGATATCTACAGAATATTTCATCCATCAAAACTGAATGCACTTTCCTCTCAACAAAACATGGGACATTTTCTAAAATGGACCGTATTTTAGATCATAAAGAAAATCTTAGCAAATACATAAAATGGAGAATACCTTGCATTGTATTAGATCATAATGGAATGAAATTAGAAAAACAATAAGATAAAAAATAGAAAACACTCTTAATTCCTGGAGATTAAATAATACATTTTAAAATGAAGAATGGCTAGCAAAAGAAATCAAGGGAAAAATAAAAAAAATACTTAGAGGTAAATGAGAATAGTGATACAATATATATAAATCTCTGAGACAACATGAAGGCCTTTCTAGGAGGAAAGTTCATAGCATTGAGCTCAGACATTCAAAGAACAGAAAGATACCAAATAAATAACATTACATCTCAAAGCCCTGGGGTGGGGGGTAATACCAATGACAAAATTAGTAGAAGACAGGAAATAATTAAAATCAGAGCCAAAATCAGTGAAATTGAGATTTAAAAAAATTACAAAAGATAAACAAAACAAAGAATTGGTTTTTTGAAAGGATAAACATTGTTAAACCCTTAGCAAACTAACCAAAAAAGGGAGGTAAAAACTGAAATTTTCAAAGACTGAGATGAGAAAGGACATATCACCACCTATACTACTGAAATCTAGAGGATCATCAGAAACTATTTTGAAAATTCATATTCCAATAACCTGTTTAGAATAGCTCGACAATATGGACACATTCCTAGAAACATATGACCTACCCAAACTGAACCAGGAGGATATAGAAAACTTAAACAGATCAATCTTAAGTAACGAAATTGAACCTGTAATCAAAAGCCTTCCAGCAAACAAAAGTCCAAGTCATCAAGTTCTAACAGACCTTTCAAAAAGAACTAATACTAATTCTCCTCAAATTATTCCACAAAATATCAAAGGAAGAAATTCTGCCAAATTCATTCTACGAAGTGAGAATCATTAATGCCAAAAATAGACAAAAGACATATCAAACAAAGAAAACTTCAGACCAATATTGTTTATGAAGATAGATGCAAAAATTGTTAATATTGGCAAGGCATACAAAAACACATTAAAAAGACAGTGCAACATGATGAAGAGAGTTTTATCCCAGAGATGCAAAGTTGGTTCAAGATACGGAAACCAATAAATGCAATTCACTATATAAATAGACTTAAAAATAAGAATCCCATGATTATCACAATAGATGCAGAAAAAACATTTGACAAAGTATAAAACCCATTCATATTTAAAACACTAGAAAACCTAGGGATAGAAAAAACTTACCTCAACATTGTAAAGACTATATACAATAAACCCAAGGTCAACATTATTCTGAAAAAAGAAAAACTGAAGGCATTTCCTCTAAAAATAGGAACAAGACAAGGATGTTTACTTTCACTACTGCCATTCAACACAGTCCTTGAAAACCCAGCAAGAGCAATCTGGTAAGAGAAAGAAATTAAAGGGATACAAATAGGAAAAGAAGAGCTCAAATAATCAGTTTGCCGATGATATGATCCTATATTAAGACCCCAAAAACTCTAACAAAAGATTTGTAGAACTCACAAATGAGTTCAGCACAGTAGCAGGATTCAAAATTAATACCCATAAATCAACTGCATTCCTATACTCCAAAGATGATTCTCCTGAAAAAGAATTTAGAAAAACTATCCCATTCACAACAGTTTCAAAAAGAATAAAAAAAAAACTTGGGAATCAATCTAACAAAACAGGTGAAAGGCCTCTATAATGAAAACTATAGAACACTAAAGAAAGAAATGGAAAAAGACCTTAGAAGACGGAAAGACCTCCCATGTTCTTTGATAGGTAGAATTGATACTGTCAAAATGGCTATACTGGGCTGTGGCTGTGGCTCCAGTGGTAGCACATTTGCCTGGCATGTGAGGCACTGGGTTTAATTCTTAGCACCACAAATAAATAAATAAATAAATAAAACAAAAGTCCGACAATACTTAAAAAGAAAAAAAGAGGGGACTGGGGTTGTGGCTCAGTGGTAGAACCTGGGTTCAATCCTTGGCACCACATAAAAATGAATAAATAAAATAAAGGTGGATAAAAATGTTTTATCTGTTTAAAAAAAAAAGAAGCTGGATAAAATTTTAGTATAACAAAAGTAGTTTTACTACATACTATTTTAATTTTATATTTATTTAATCCCCAGCCTTTTTTTGTGTGTTGTTCTTGTTCTTGTTCTTGAGAGAGGATCTTGCTACGCTGGATGGTTTTGAATTTGTGATCTTCTTGCCTCAGTCTCCAAACTAGATGAGATTATAGGTACATACCACCATGCCTATTATTCTTAAAAGTTATATAGAATAACGTAGAAACTTAAAAACACAATTCAACTTATTTCTTAACATCGGGGACTCTTTTTAAGAATAATGGAAGGTATGATTTAAAATTAGCTACAATATCCCCAAATTATGGCTGAATTAAAAAATATTAATTAGTTTATGCTTTAACACTTACCAAGAAGTGGTGACATATTCTGAAATACACGAAGCAACTCTGGTGTAATACATGGGCTGTTCTCCAATGTTACTAACCTAGGAAGAAAACCACAGATGAATAAATAATTTTCATGCCCATTAATGCTACTAATACAATAATACGAATATAAAAAGTTTCCTCTAAAGGACAAAAAAGTAGATAAAACATACAGTTATAAAAACTATCTACAAAAATTGGCAAATACCTCAAAATAAATACCTATGCATAGATTATGTAGTATTATTTCTTCATATATAACAATAATAGTAAGGAAAGTATTTACTAAAGTATGGATAATAATGAAATTATAATTTTAAAGCAAAAACATGATTAATATAGTAAAAAGGGAGAAAATTATCTTGTTTTTTTGATTTTCTTGAAATGCTCTTGTGTGGCATGTAATTTATATGCCCCTTCAACAAGAAAATGGACTAATATTAGTAAAATGACAGGCTAAATACTTTCTAAATATGAACTTAAAACAACAAGGTGCAATTACAAGCCAATCTAACACCCTTAGCAATCTACAACAATCAATGTATAAAAAATTATATAAATTATGGTTTATTACAGAAGTGTGTGACTGGTTCTATCTCCCCTAAGCCCCAGAGAACTTAAAGGAGAAAACCATGATTATCATAATAGCAGCAAAAAAGAAAAAAACCTATTAAATATAATAATTGCTATAAAATTCTTACCTGATTATAAATAGAAAGAAAATTCCACAAGAAAGTACCAAATACTCATAGTAAATATACTTATCAATGATGACATGTTGAAACTGTCCTCTTGAAAAGCAGAAATAAGCCTCTAAACACTGTAATACCTTGTCTACCTCCATAATTATTCAGTTTTACTTATGAAGGGCCTCTAATATGCCAAGCAAGTTAGTAAAAGATACAAGAATAAGAGAGAATATCAATATATGAACATCAACGGACTCTCTATATGCCAAAAATCAATAGTTAAGAAATAACTGGATGATGTTATGTCTCAGATACAAAAATCCACCATCACAAAGATGTCAATTCTCACTGTTAAACAATTAAACAGTTTAACATCATTTCAGTTCAAATCCCTAAAGGGTTTTTTCTGGAAATTAGGCTTGCCTAATTGCCTAAGGAGGATGCCTAAAATCAGACAAAAAATTTCAAGGAAAGAAAAAGGTATAAATGGGGCTGAGAAATCTGAGACAAATACTTGCTTAACTTGTTAGTACAAGTTAGTATACATAAAATATATGAAACGAACAGAAATTAATTTACTAAAAAAAAAACCAGCACAATGAACAGACTTTCCTTGTCAACGGGTCCAAACTATCTGAGGCTTGTACTTTCCCTTTCAAACTGTTACTCTATTTTCTATGCTAGCTTTCATAGAAGAAACCATGCTATTCAAAAGCGGGGGGGAAAAAATCTGAATTTAAACTCCTGAAAATGACAAGGTGTTTGACTTCAGAATCAACTAATAAAGATGAGACAGGAGAAGAAATGAGACCAAAAAAAAAAAAAGAAAAAAAAAATCAAAGCACTACTCTTTACCATTAAAAAAGACAACGACTATTTTGATTAATATCACTACATATACATATATTTTTTTTTAAAGAGAGGGGGGGGGAAGAATTTTAATATTTATTTTTTTTAGTTTTCGGCAGACACAACATCTTTGTTGGTATGTGTTGCTGAGGATCGAACCCGGGCCGCACGCATGCCAGGCGAGCGCGCTACCGCTTGAGCCATATCCCCAGCCCAACATATATTTTTCATGAAAATATTTCAAATTTTAAATTCAATGTTTTTTTAACAATGCGTAAAGTTACTAAAAATAACAAAATTTTGTAGTAAGCAACATCTTTTTAAAACATATAGAACAAAAAGTTTGAGCCATGAACACTAAGACAACTGGAGTGTTTTTAATAAATCAATATTAAGAAGAAAAAGCAAAATAATGACATGAGCTACATAACTAATAAGGTAAAAAAATAAATGCATGTAAAACTCTGTATCAGTGGCACTCTCATCACTGCAATGACATATTACAAAAATAGATGTTTAGTCCTTAACATTCATTTAAGTTAAACACACACACACACACACACACACACACACACACACACACACAATGTACAATGGAAAATATAATGGTGGAGCACTTGCCTAACATGCAAAAGGCCCTGGGTTAGACATACAGCACCACAAAACAAAAACACCATATAAGTCACCTGTTATAGAGGTAATGTAACAAATTCATATCTGAATCATATACTTTAATAACAGCAAAATATTCAATGTTTGGTCAAAAAAGTCACTAAACAATCGGAAATGATAGCAGCAAAATTTTTTTTTAAAAGACTATCCAAATATATGGGAAATATATACCTATTTCCAATACTAATTTCACAGCTTTAAATATTTTATTATTTAATAAGAAAAATGAAAAAAATGAACCTTTTGTCTTATACATTAAGAAATCCTATAAATCCACAATTAAATATAGGAAATAAAAAATATGAAGCAAAAATATTTCAAAGGACAGAAACAATTTATAAATCTAAGAGTTCAATCATAAGGAGCTCTGAAAAATGTACTTTAATAAACATACATCATTTTAAAGTGTTTGTATTAGAGCATCATAACTGTATATAATAGTGGGATTCATGCAACATATCCATACATGCATACAAAATAATTTGATCAATTTCAATAAATGTACTTTAAAAAAAGAGATAAAACAAAAATAAAACTATGAATGGGAAATATAAAGCAAATACATAAAAATTTTCTATTAGTATTTTAAAGGACTAAGTGCCCAAACTAAGATACTTAAAAAAGTCAAAAATCAATTAAAAAAAACCAACTAAAATTAAAAGTCAAATAAATAAATAAAATAAAATAAATATTTAAACTTACAATAGAGGATGATATCAAAGCTGTAAATGAGCTGAGCACTGTGGCACACACTTGTAATCCCAACAGCTCAGGAGGCTGAGGCAGGAGGATCTTGAGTTTAAAGCCTGCCTCAGCAAAAGTGAGGCACTAAGCAACTCAGTGAGACCTGTCTTTAAATAAAATACAAAAATACAGCTGGAGATGTGGCTCAGTGGTCGAGTGGCCCTGAGTTCAATCCCTAGTATGAAGGAGGAAAAAAGCTGTAAATGAATCCCTGGTCTCCACCCTGGGTCCATTTCAAGTTTATTAAATTCTTAAGTTGTCCAAAGAATAAACAGCACATTACAAAAAGCATTACAGTGTAAAGAAAATAATTTTCAAAATTGTTAGACTAGTAAAATAACCCTAATATAAAACAAAACAACGTCATAATGTATAGATCATAGAACCAGCTCATTTATAAATACAAGAAAAAAGAAAATTAGACAAAATACTAACAAAAAAACTTTTTTAATAGTACTTTACAATTTATCCAAGTAAATAAAGTTTTTCTCAAGAAGCCAAGGCTTTTGTAAGAATTTTTATCTTTTAAGAGAAAAATATAATCTCTTAAATACATGGCAAAAAGCAATCAAATTGTTTTGTTCTTTTTGTTTTTAAATGATGAAAATCATACTGCATTTAATGGTATATAGCTGATATTGCTTATATAGCATTTATTGCCACACACACGTGCACACATACAAACACACAAACACACACACACCTTTTCAAGTAAAATACTTTTATAAATTCTGCTTAAAATAATTTATAGTATTGTTACAAATTTATATTGTTAGAAAAATGAAAAAATAAGACTAAAAATTCATGAGTTGATTCTTAGGATATTAAGTTATATGACACAGGAAAAAACTACAGCAAGTAGGAAGAGGAGATAATAAACATAAGAGCAGAATGAAAGAGGAGATAAACAACAGAGAGTAAAAGCAAAAAGCTGGTTCTCTGACAAATCTCTGGAGAAATGGTTCTAGGGGAAAATAAGAAGCAATGAAAAAAATCACATAATTGGTCTGCGAGTTTCACTTTACATTCATGACCATAAATATCAGTTGGTACTGGTTATCCATAATACATTCCAATTCTCATTTTTTAACTACTTTATAACTTTGCTCCCCGACATCTCTCTCATATCTGTGTATACTCCTATATCAGCCCAAACTCTCAGCTGATGAACATGTTTCATATTTGATTGAAAAACACAATTCTGTTATATGGAACAAATTCCTATATTACCCAACTATAAAATTTGGAAATCTACCTTCCTGCCTCCAGTCAACATGAAGTATTGCAACTGCTATCAAAATTCAAATCCTCCATTGAGTTCTGACTTCTGTCCCTTTCCTTCTCCTTCAATTTCCCCACTCTCTCAGTCAAGCCCCACCCATTCTTCTAGATCTTACATTTCCAGGCTTACATTCTAGACTCTTCTTTATAATAAAAATTCTCAAACAAGTTGTCAGTGTTCAGTACTTACTTCAAATTCCTTGTTCAACCTACTCATTTAATTCCTGTTCCAATCACTCCACTGAAAACCCTTCTGGCATCTCCAGGAGGACACTTCTCTCTGTATTACCTTATTAGGACAATCAGAAACATTTGCCATAGCTACCCACTCCCTCATTATAGATATTCTCTCTTAGCTTTGGTTTCCTACTATATCAATAGATAGCCTTTCTCTGTCTTTCTAGATGGCTCCTCCTTTCTCTATCTTAGTAGATAACTCCTCTTCTATCCACAAAATCTTGTAAGTTCATCAGGATCCTGCCCTGAGCAGAATATTCTCTATCTAAACTTCTCTTCCCATGCAATCTTATATGACTTTAAATGCCATATACAAAGAGCTAGCTACTTTAGCAAACATCTCATTCTCACAACAACCATGTAAAGTACCAATTATTTTTCCTAAATTCACAGATGATTTATTCAAATGATAAACTAAATAAAGCATTACAAACTGAATCTGTCTGGTTCCAAATATGAGCTCTAGAGAAACATAAAGAAATTTAAATTTGTACACTGATTCTTTAATCTAGAGAACCTTAACTAGTAATGAATTTAATAAGGTTTTTAAAAAATTTATATTCATTCATTATGCATGATGAATTGCATAAGGCTAGAAAAAATGAAATTGCCATTAGTAGAGCAATGCATTGTTATTATACTTTGTTTACATAATTCTTTGAAAACTTATATGCTTTTAATAAACGCACTAAGTCTAATACTGACAAGTCTGAATCTAGCTCTTCATAATTTTAACATTTTCTAACATTCAATATCATATAGTATTTATATGTAATGAAAAGCAATTTTGTGCCAGAATTATATGTTTTAATTTATAATCTAGAACAAGGTTGGCACTCTACAGGTCATGGGCTAAAACCAATCCATATTCTATTTCCGGGAATGATCTTTAGTTGGAGCACAGCCATATATCCATTTTTTTATGTAATGTCTATGATGGCTTTGACCAGCAGAGACTATATGATCTGGAAACCCTAAAACATTTACTATCTGGCCCTTTACCAAAAATGTTTACCAACCTCTGGTCTAGAGCGGTCCACCCTATACAAACATAAAAATATGAATATAAAAGATTTCAACAACATGCTAATTAACAATCAAACTATCTACCTGTCATTTCAGTTCAAATAACATAAACTGGGAAAGAATATCAGGAACCCAAATCACAAATTAGTAAGCATTTATCTAGTTAAGTTTTTAAATCATTCATTCACTATTCTAATATAAGATCAGTAATTTATAATTTGTACCTATAACAATTTCTAAGAATCAAAACTGTTAATTCTTAGACAACTAAGCAAAACTAACAAAGAAAGGAGGAAAGGGAGTAATAGTAGGACTACCAACTCCAGTAGTCAATTTACACACCGGAATTTCTAAATCTTTCACGTATCATTCATTAAAAGACTGTCTCTGAAACTTTTTCCATCACTAAGTTGAGTTTAATAAAGCAAAAGGATTTTCTAGAATAGCTGCTTACATACACAGTACATAACTAATAAATGTTTATAGCACTAAACTGCCACGGAAATAGGGATTTGTGTTTTTTCTTCATTCTTTTAATGCTACACATGTAGTATAAGCATTTGGGGCTGAGGTATAATATTTCGGCACTTACTTAGTAAGGTAAGATTGAGGTTGAGAAATAACTCAATATCCCCCCATCACAATTCATAGATTGGAAATTTTAAGACAATTTTAATTTGTGAAAGTTACCACAATTCTCATTTTACATGCCAAATTCCGAAAGAAGAAATGTAGATGATTCGTCTATTGTAAGCCTATACTGAATAGCATCCGCCCCCAAAAAGGAGCTGTTATGTTATCCATTTGAGGAAATCAATTTCATGTCCTTATTTTTTTTAAATGCTACAGTGTTTTTACACATAACCTTTACTTTATTGGCATGAGAATAGGGAAGGCCAGGGAAAAAATAATGGTATCAAGTTTTTCCTCTTACCATAATTCTAAACCATCTTCCAGAAGATAGACATGTGGAGGCTGGGAAACATCTGTACTCAGTTGGATAACTGGGAGCAGGAAAGGGTACAGGTTCTTGCTGTCTGCTCCTAATCCCTATGAGAAGTATAAATACAACTTATGATAAGACACTCTAAGGTCCCTCCCTCCCTCCCACCAAAAATTTACCTATCATATCTGAAATCAATTTGTAAAGAATAAATCAAGAGTTTTTGAGGATGGCTCTCATTATATGCACTATTAAAAGCTGTTTACAAATAGAAAGAATCAAAAAATACTATTCAACTTCCTAATGGCAGTAAAAAAATATACATGCCTTGGCTTTTTGTTAATTATTTTTAATAATCTAAGAAAACAAAGATGAAAGATGAAAAAGGAGTCTAATCTAAAATTCCAGTATGCTTACTGATATCTTAGGGAGATTCATTGGTGTAGCATACTATAAACACTTCTGAAGAAAATAAAAAGGATTACAAATCAATCTCAACCATAATAATCTCTATACTCTAATAACGGCAGAAAGAAAACCAAATTAACTAACACCTACTCACTTAGAAAATAATGCAAATAATAATACAGTTTACAGAAAATTACAATGCCAGCCCGGCACGGTGATGCTCACCTACAATGGCGCACACCTATAATCCCAGAAGCTTGGGTGACTGAGGCAGTAGAATGGTGAGGCCCTAAGCAACTCAGTGAGACCCTGTCTCTAAATAAAATACAAAATTGGTCTGGGGATGCAGCTCAAGGGTCAAGTCCTCCTGAATTCCATCCTAGGTTACCCCCATTCCCCAAATAATTACAATGCCATAAAATATATACATATTCCGCCTATGATGTCATATATCTTCAGTTTAGTTCTTTTTCCCCCAATTTTAGAGTGTACATTATTAACTATAGTCATCAGAATATGTAATAAATCTAATTTAAATCTTTTGTCTAGTTAAAATTTTATACTTGTTGTTCAAAACATTTCTCCCCTCCTTGTCCCCTGGAAAACACCATTCTAATTCCTGCTTCTTTTAGTTCAACTTTTTCTGACTCATATATTAAGATCATGCAATATTTGTCTTTCACTTCATCATCATCTATGGGACATATACATTTTCAGTATAAATGCATAAAGTTTATTGCTAAATGTGTTAACTGTAAGTTTAGCTTTCTCTCTAATCAAAAATACTTTAGAAGATCTTATTAAAATGAGTTTTCAAAGGAAGAGAACTATAAAAATTCCATTACCTAATGAAGTAGTATACTGGGCCTTAGAACTAAGTTAAATTTCATTCCTCATAGGTTCAGTCTTTTCATGGAACATAAATAAAAAAAAAATATTAAAAAAAACAGTCAAATTCATTTTGATTATCAAGTAGACTAAAAAGTTCCCAGGGAAATTAAAATTTACTCAATAGCCTACTAAAATAAGCAAAACATGCTAGCATTAGAAAAACTAAGGTAAATAACTGTTGAACACACAAACACTGTGTCAAAGACTAAGAGATCTAAGTACTTTGTAATCTAATGACTGAATGATGTCCCAATCCCTGATATGAAGCTTTAAAACTGTGAACTCTCTAGAGACCCACAATAACTATAAGATATTGTCTACCATAATATGAAATCTCAAATAAATTTACCAGTTTATAAGAGAAAATTAACTTTGTAACTTTCTGTTACCTATAATTTTTTTAAAGGAAAAAAACAGGAACAGTACCCTTTAGATTTGGCCTTGGTTCTCTTCTCATATCCCATTAACACATTGATTATGTCTAAATCTATTACCTCCAACTCAATTTTCTGAATTCCAGACACTCAAATGACTATAGGACATTATCTTACAGAAGGAATCTCAAACTCTTAACACTGAACCAACTCATTGTCTTCCTAAAAAATTGTTCATTAGTGACTCAGGAGGATGAGGCAGGAGGACCTCAAGTCCAAGGCTAGCCACAAACAACTCAGTGAGGCCCTAAGCAATTTAGTGAGACCTTGTCTCAAATGTAGCTCAGTGATGGAGCACCCTGGGTTCAATATCCAGTACCAAAAAAAAAAAAAAAAAAAAAGAAAAGAGAAAAAGAAATTGCTCCTCTTCCTACATTTCTTTCCTGCCTGCATCCAAGTGATATGAACCATTAAACTTAGTGATAAATTATATCCTATCCTCTTCCTGATTCATCCCTAACTTTACATCATGTCCAAACAATCCTTAATCCTACCTCTTTAATATTCTTTAAATCTCTCCCCCTCTTTTCCATAAATTGAACCTAGATCCTTATCATCACCCTTATCTAGATTCTTTTTCATAATTAAGAATCTCAGTGAGGCTTTGACAGCTTTTCTAAAATAAAAATAATCACCCCAGTGGCTCAGGAGGTTAAGGCAGGAAGATTGCAAGTTAAGAGCCAGCCTCAAAAACTTAGTAAGGTCCTGAGCAACTCAGGGAGACCCTGTCTCTACATAAAATTTTAAAGGAGGGGGAGGGGGCAAGGCAGCACTGAAGATGTGGCTCAATGCCTCAGGGTCCAATCTTCAGTACAAAAGAAAGAAAGTAAGAAATCATAACAACCCTTCCTCTGAACTTCAAAAGATATTATTTTAGCCTTCTTGATCCAATATACAAGTTCTGTATATCATGTTCTAACTACACCAAACAACTCAGAAAAATCACTATGCTAGTTATCTGGAGAAAGCTGACAGATTCAGGACAAGCATTTACTACTGTTCTCTCCTAAAACACACTAAAAAAGATATAGACTTTTTTTTTTTTTTAAGGACTTAAAACCATAATAAAAAAAGAAAGAATTAGAAAAGTAAAAGTAATTTAATATGGATGCTGGAAAGAAAGACAAGTGGTAACTGACTCGGACAACTAAGCAACCAAGGCTCAAATTAAAGAGTTAAAAAAAAAAAAAACAAACACCTCACAAAACAAAGGTAAGAAGCAGCCCGATTTATATTACTGATCTTCCAAAAGACTCAGGAACTGGTAGTGCCAATTATTTTGAAAAAAATCTATTTATGTCTGTGCATATGTGTGTGTTTGGGGGACTATGAGTGAAGAAGTATTAATAATAAGAAAACTTCTAGAAGGTGTTTTAAAAAGCAATTTGATAACAAGATCTCACATAAACAAGAAGATAAACAACTGGCTCTTCTCTTGAACTAGCATAAAACTGTTTTCTGCTAAAAGTAAAAAAAATACTCTCAAGACAAGAAAATTCCATATAATCAAGAGCTGGGGATGATATAAAACAAGAAGATTAGATTACACTGTAATAGGCAGAAGACTGGGGGATCTTTCACTGAGAAAAGATATCAAATTATTAACATGGCTTGCTTTCCCACAAAAAGTAATACAGATCAATCTAAAAGAAACCCCACATTTTCAAGCTTCTGACAGAAACTCACCCCCTCCACTGAGCTTTTCAATACCCACTCCTAAATTTATACAACCTGTTGATAGATCTTGAACTTGGAAGATGTTTAAAGATGCATTATACTGCTTCAAATTTTTCATGATGGAAAGTAAGTAAATAAATAGAAACGAGGGCTGGAGATGTAGCTCAGCAGTAGAGTGCTTGCCTGGCACATGTGAGGCACTGGGTTCAATCATTAGCACCACATAAAAATAAATAAATAAAATAAAGGTACTGTGTCCAAATACAACTAAAAAGTATTAATAAATAAATAGAAATGAGCAACTAAGAATTAAACAATATGATTAAAATATCTAATATGAGAAATATAAGACAAAACAATTAGAAAATAGCATCTTGAAAGAAAGCAAGACCAAAAAGAAATTAAAGTTTGGAAAAGTTTAACACCCTTGGTATAATAAAACACTGCATTCACAAAATAAAAATGAAATTTACAAAAAGATTCTTCTAAATATAAGTCACAGACATTAAAATATGACCAGAAAAGAATCGCACAATACAAAGGTTAAAAGATAACATTGAGAAAAATCTCGAAGAAAGTAAAATAAAAGCACAAAGACAAGAAAAAGCAGGAAATATGCAGTAAAAAAAAGTAGAGAACTGATTCAGAATATCCATCAGCTAAGTTATTACAAGTTTGGAGAGAAGAGAAAACCATAAAATGGAAAAAATAATCAGTAAAATATAATACATTTATCTAAACCTCTAACATATGTTTCAGTCTGAAATGTTCACCAGGTGTCCAGAACAATGGAATAAATACACACCTACATCATCATGAGACTGCAAACAGGTACAAATGGACTAGGGATGTAGACTGAGTACTTGCCTAGCATGCATGAGGCCCCAGGCTCTATGCCCAGCACAAAAATATAAAAAATTAACTTTAAAAAAAAAAAAAGAAAGAAGATGATCATACAATTGCCATAAATGGGAAGAAGTGATGACACATTCATGAATTAAAAAAAAATCTCTAAAATTGAGACCACAGCCACACAGCCACACAAAGCTTCATGGCACACATCGCTGAATGTCTACCAGCCCTCCCAACCCCAATTCCATAGTCCATCATAGAAAGAATCCGCTTTCATCTTGGGACACCTTCATTGCCATCTTTAGTTAGGGCAACTCTCAGCTTAGAACACCGGCTGGGCAGGTACTGATAGTCCCCAACTACCCCTCGCCCCAGCACAACGACTGCCCAATACAAAACAGCCTTCTAAGACAGGTATAAAAACAGAGCGCAACCCACAAGCCCTGCTAAGAGAAAGATCCCCAAACAGGAAGTAGAAAGGGAGAGGGTGAGCAAGATACAGTTTAGAGACTAAATTTAGAGACCAGGAACTGAGAGATCTACAGGTGATATAAGGAGATAAGACCAGGCACCCACATCACAGAGGAGATCCTTGGGGTACAGTCTCCCACTGGGGACAGATGGTACCATACCCAACTTCTAGGTGCCCTGAACTTCTAAGACCAACCTTTCCCACTCTGAGGTGGGAATCTCCTTCCCAACCTTCACAATCCTGAGGGTGCAGATACCAGCAAACAACATACAATCCCACCTATTGAATGAGAAGGGAATCAGGAAAGATACTGATCTCCAACCAAAACAGTCTCTGTTTCTTCTTTTAAAATTTATTTATTTTTTCCTCCCTC